GAGACAGGGTGGGTGGTATGGGGGCACTTTGAGACAGAGAGAGGGTGGAGAGAAAGAAATGAAGAGAAAGAGAGAGAGGGAGAGAGAGAAAGAGAGAGAGAGAGCAAGAGAGAGAAAGAGAGTGAGAGAGAGAGAGAAGGGGTGGGGTGGGGAGAGGGAGGGAGGAGAGAGGGGATGGGTGGAGTGGGGGCACTTTGAGACAGCGAGAGAGAGAGAGGATGGAGATAAAGAAACAGAGAGAGAGAGAGAGAGAGATAGAGAGAGAGAGAAAAGAGAGTGGGAGAGAGAGAGAGGGGGGGGGGAACGTACAATTAGACTAAGGGAAACTGCTGCACACTCACATATAACATAAACACTTAGCCAAGAAAAAAAATGAAACAAACTCAAATTACCCTGTTGAAAGATTTGAAAAGAAATTTAAACAATAAAAATAACTTGAACCTTTTTCCACACTGTACAGCAATAACACTGCATTGTATTGCTATTACTGATTATTCCAGGAATCTTGGTTATGGCCTGGCCAACACCGCTGCCCGGATCGGCGGGATTGTCGCCCCTTACATCGTCAATTTTGTGAGTTTTCTTCCTTGTTCAATGTCATCAGCGTATACCATTGCTACTTGATAAACTTGTTTTACAACAATGCAACGTTGTTTCATCGTTTGCCGTCCAAACGTAAGGCTAGTCTCCGAGCAAGGAAGGCGGAGAGATAAGAAAGGCACTCCAAATAACCCAGATCCAAGAACCTCTCGTTAGAAATACAAACATCGGCCGTCCGCCTCTTGTCCTCACTTGCTACAACTACAACCCCTTATCATACCATCAAATAAAGAAAGCGCTCCCTCATTGTTTTGAAAAGAACAAAGTTGTCAAAATCTCATACTGGATATGAATCTTCGACCCGTGAAAGTTGAAAATTCATAGTATGCCTGAAATGGAGTCGATCGCATTTTCTCACAAGTGGTGAAACTTATTACCCTTGCTTGGTATTTCTCTCGCAGCAGTACGTAGATTGAATTTTCCGCCCAAATCAACATTGCAAAGTTATTAATTGGCAAGATCTCATCACCGGAATTATGGACGCAAGTGAGTAGAACGCTTTGAAAACTCCACAGTGGGATGAATGGAGCTAAAGCGTGAGGTGTTCTTGTTTCAGGGCGGTATGCTGGCTGTGTCGTACACTTGCTTCTATTACTTTACATGTATTTTATTATCGTCACAAGTACAGTCAACTCCATAAATTGTATTGAACTCGCTTGAGTTGATGTTCGGTTAAGTTGATTTTTTTCTCTTGCTTAGCATTTGCTGTTCCTCTTTACAGGGTCCAACAGTTAAGCTGAACTTTGGATGATTTGATCTTTTTTTCACTCTTTCGACTCATCCGTAGTCGACTGTGATGGTTTTTTATGCTCTTTTGATAAGATTAAGAGCCCGGTAAATGTCTCGCCCAATACTTGATATTTAAGGATAATATGCTGGCTGTACCGTACTCAATTTGTGAGGCAGTTTGGTGAAATCAGGCGCTCGTTAAAACAATAAAATCAAAGAAACGGGCGTTTTTCTGGGTGACTGACAGTTTTTGTTGTTTTTTTCTTTTTCTGGCTTAACAACTTTTATATCCTTTCATAAACTGTCTAAGGAACTGGAATTGAAAACCAAGCTGAGTATGTTCAAAACAAACATGAAGACTGTTCTACTGTAAGGTTCAGAGACATGGATGCTCACAGCATCAGCAGCAAGGAAACTGCAGAGCTTCGTAAATGGATGCCTACATATTTCTGTGTGGATGTTACCAAAAAACGTTCATTAAAGGCACAAAAAAGTAAATTTCCAGTTCCCAACAACACTAAATCTTTGGAAGTTGCCAAACTTTGGCGACTATTTTCTAGCTAATTTTACCTCACGGATCAGGCGACCCCACCTCTTCAATCGCTAATATCTTGACTTCCATTCAAGATAGGTAGTATTTCTTTTCGCCAAATGCAAGACAACATTATTAATAACTCTATATGCCCAAAAATTGACAAGCGCCTGATTCCACCTCGTTGTGACACATTTTCTTTTACGATTATTCTGTTGCCTTCACCTACCTTGATAAACTCAATGCATTTATTGCGCTAAAAATGTAAATTTGAAAAAAAAAATAAGCTCAATGACTGGTCTCGTCCAACAATGTATAATTTACATTTCAGGACGACATGCTGGCTTTGTCGTACTCAATCATCAGCGCCATGTTGGTAGCGAGCCTCATCCTCATTCTTCTCACACCGGAAACAAAGGGGACGTTACTCGCCGACAGTGTCACCGCAATGGAGAAGGACAGCGGTGGGCAAAATGGTGGTGGGGAGAAGGGGAAGAAAGCGGCGCCGCCCGGAGGGGTGGAGATGGAGCAAGTGAAAGTCACAGTCCCAGAGAAAAGCTACCCAGAACAGGATGAGAACGGACAAGTACAGAAAGACTCAGGCGATGTGATGGAAAAGGACAACGGCTTTTTACAGAGCTACACTGTATCCGAGAAAGCCTCGTTGTAACTACCTGAAACCATGAATAAGTTGTTTTTTTTGTTTGGGTTTTTTTTATTGGAGGAGGGGGGGGGGGT